TTGCAGACTCAGTAATAGACCTATTTTCTGATATGGCGGCCATCTTGAATTATTGGATGTCGAGGGGGCAAACACGCAAAAAATTTATAAAGCCTAGAGTGGCGGCGTTACGTTTTTAAGTAATTCAGTGAATTAATTGCTTTTTAGATGTGCTTCTTATTGAAAAAGCGTAAGGTTATAGACCAAATTCAAAACTCGCACGGATGTGAGGCTTAAGTTGTGAACAAAGGGATCTGGCGTGACTCAAAGTAATCTGGCGTGATTCAAAAGTCACGAATCACGCCAGATTCCTTTGTTCACAACTTAAACCTCACATCGGTGCGAGTTTTGAATTTGGTCTATATAAAATGACAGCTGTGCAGTCTATCAATTTTCCAATAGTTTCCCCCTCGGCATCCAATTAATCCAATTAATTAGTATATGTAATAGGACTCCATGCTATCCAATTAAGAAATAATTTGACGAGGAAAATTCTGAGGACTGACAAAATTGGATGAGGCCGTAGGGCGAGTCCAATTTGGCAGTCAGAGGAATTTTTCGAGTCTAATTATTTCTTGATTGGGGAGCATGAAATCCCATTACCTATTAATTATATAGCTGCCTAATTAATTCCATATCAACAAGGCCTGTCCAATTAAGAAAATAATTGGACAGTTACCTATATGGAATTAATGAGAAGCTGTATAATTAATGACTTAATTAATACAATAGAATTCAAGATGGCCGCCGTATCSGTAAAAAGGTATATTGYAAAAGATTGTGATAGCTGCATGCAGAATAGCGTGTTCAGTGCAAACGAATTTGACAATAAAATTCAACCCAGTGAAATGGGAGAAAACAAATCAGATGTTTTTGTCATTAGCGCCGTGCCAGACCGACAGAACACTTGATTGTGAGCAGTTACGTAACACAAACATTCTCTACCATCATCAACGGCAKCTGAAAAATGTGTTTATATTGGTCATTCGAAACTGGTATGCGTTCTTCCTACACCCTGTGCAGTGTCTGTTATGTAGAATATACACTTATTTCAAAAAACATTGTCATTGCCAAACGCGATAGGGAATAGGCGAAAAGTGATAGGAGGTAAGAGGTCATTCCAAAATCCAAGAATAACTGGAATGACTTGTGTTTCTGCTTCTTAATCTTGTCAAGAACATGGACCTTAGCGTTGAGACTGATCCAATATTCTTTGTAGTCGACGAAATCATTTCCATGTCGGAATGACCTATCGCCTTTCGCCTTTGGCGATGACAACGTTTATTCAAATAGGCTTATATTTTAAACGTTTTCTGTGCGAAGGAACGTAGTGACCCCTTGCTTGTGGCGTCTTTTTGGAATAGCGTGCGCTTAGGAAAACTGATCAATCASTATCGACGTTTCTTGCCATGAAAATTATTAAAACAGCTTTTCTAATTAGACAGTCAAGGGCTTCTGAAAGCCAAGGACARATGGCGGCAAACGAATTTGGTCAAAAAATGTTAATTTTGAAGACGTTCCTTTTAAAAGTTGTTAAAAGTGGGGGTGGGGGGTCGGGGAATTAACCCATTTATTTTTCATTGCAATCAAGCGCTTAAACAAAAACTTTCAAACAGCATTCCATATAGGGGCGACATGGGTGCAAAGGTATATATGCAAGTGACAGGCCGGGATTGCTGGTCATATCGATCGGTTAATCATTGGCAACGGTCTAGGGGACGACTAACCTTTCTCTTACCCTGTGGATTTCCCCGTGACAGCAGTGTCTGAGCCGAAATCTCCGTCTTTGCTTCGCCAAGCCACGCGACGCTTTAGCAATCGATATCTGCAGTTATGGTACTGGTTGGTCAATCAAACATTTTTTCCAGAAGTCAGATCAAATAGATCAAATTGATGGTTTTCAACCATTCCCAAGAGAATTAAATAACAAAAGACACGGCGGCCATGTTGGAGGATATAACAAAAGAATTCATTGCAATTATTTTATTAAGTTCCTCCAACATGGCCGCCGTGAAAACCATCAATAGATTGCCTTATCTTGATCAATTATAYATAAATTCAATATAAACGCTCAAATTTTTCGGCAGGGAAAATAAGMGCAACATTTTAGATAAAAAGGGATTTTTCGACAGTCTTTTCKAATTATGATTAGAAGTAGAAAAATACTCTTCGCGGGGCTTCACAGTTACGCATCAACGATAAGATTTAAAAAATATAAGACCACAACACAAGCTTTTTTTCATTTACTTTTACTGAATCTGATCAATAAAATTCTCAATAATATGGAAAATAAGTATTCGATTCTTAGGAAACTATATTATTCTATGTATCTTAAATCATGGTAAATGTACTTCTCGATAGGTTTTTTCAAAGGTTAATCGTAAAGTTTATTCCACGTACCGCAAGACGAGAATGCATATCAGCAATCTCAATCAGCATCAAGAAATGAAATAAACTTCCCATACAGATTGTGAAAATTTTGCATCGCTAAAATTGATATTTAAACCCAGCCGGAACTGACCTATTTGAGAGTA